ATGTGGTTGATAATTTAAGGCAAATATCAAGATCATGAAAGACACTTAGCAGAAACTGGAAAGGACAATTCAGAACAAAGTTGGTTAGAGATTTCTGGTAGGTAGCTTGTGCCTCGACTTGAGTGAATAAGTGACTGACTGTACTTTATTTTTCTAAATTGTTAGTCAGTTCTTAATTTTGAAATGAACTGGGAAAAGCGAAAAGTATTTAAATCTTCTCTTGAACTATAAATAAAAGCGATATATATGACCAGATCTCTTCAGTTAATTATAAATTCAACAACAGTCTGTTACTTTGACATACCAAAAAACCAATATTTTCGACTGACGAAATTCAGAATACAAAGTCTTCAAATGTTAGATTTTATACAATATCACTCGGGTTTAGCTATTTGACTGTTGGTTGAATGTATTCAGAGCATTACACAACATCTACTCATGAATTCTGAATCGTTAATTTCGTAGATTTAAGAATCAGATACTTTTATTTGATCAGAATATGAGTTGTGGAGATTGTTGAGTATTATTGAGATCAAGAAATTACCAATTAAAACCTAAGATCCTAAGTTCAATACCCAGTGATGGAATCGTGGCTTGATATTCTTATTTTACTTTTGGCAGTGGACAATGTTATCAAATGTCAAAACCATCATACTCATAATTCATAAGTTTTCATTTTTACCCTAAACAATGTGAAGATTGTCATGACACGGTTGCTATAAGAATAACACTTTTATATATAATTTGATTTACTCGCCAATCTGAATACGACTTATACAATCTTAGCACTGTGCCAAACCAATGATGTATCGACCAGTATGAACAGCCTAGAGACCTTGTTGGTCCTTTTTCCTGCCTGACCCTGCCTGTTGAGTTCAGAATACTAATATCAGCTTCCACTATACGAATCATTTATTTCAGACATACCTGGTTTATATACAAGCCAACCAGACCACATCATACCATAAAATAGAAATTAATAATCATACAAGATCAAGCCCCAAAAGTGGTTATGATTGTGAGACTGTAACTAATAAATTCAGAATAACTTACAACCTAAAAGGTTGTAAGCAGCTGATAAGAACCTAACGAAATAAAATGAATTCATATTATTCTGCACCAATCTTTGTTCTTGCTCTCTTTAAGATAATAAAGGGAACTATGTGTATGAAATAACTTAAGAATAGAAAATTGTATAATAATAGTCTATAGGTTAAAATAAAGCTTATAATAAGAGGAATATAAATGCACATAATCCAGGTACTTAATAATTATATGTATATTAGTCCATTAATAGATCTCAGAAGTTATCCATAATTTGATCTTCGCTAAGATATAACAATAGGTACTAGGTTTGAGTTTCGTTGTAAATATCAACGGTACGAAACAGGTAATCTAAAAATGAGTTTCTTTCAGGCCGAACCATTTGTCATGAATTCTACTACTTGTCATAATCCAGATATCAAATAATATGTGAACTACACTTTCGAAATGATATTGACCGATGAGTTACAACTATGTTTTATGGCCCAAAAATAGAGAAAAAAAACACTTTTACATATTAATCAATATCCCCACTATTTTAATTCATCTTCCCTATACCAACATTGTCTTTGTCCATTTGCGTTCTTTTTTTGTTGTTACGATAATCACATGCTTTGTTGCTATGTAAATGACACACAATATAACTAGGATGTTTTTATATTTTTAACCTGTCCACCATGTGATCACTGGTTGTCACCTGATGATCATGTGTTTGAATAAAGTTCAAATTTAAGACAGGAGAACTTGTGCATATTAACTAATTTTCATTATACTAATAAAAGCTAGTCAATTTATTAAATAAATAAATTTAACTCAACTTCAGTTTAATTATTATGAGTGAACAAATACTAACTTCAGATGTGATTATCATCTCCATAGGTTACATCTTCCATCAAGAACTTAAGGAAACCATTCTCTAAACAGATTGAAAAATACTGAAAATCTATATAATGAGTAAATGTATGTTTAAAACAAAGATAAATTAGTGCACATCAATAACATTTAAATGATCTATGATATTCAATGCAATTTTGAATTAACTGTTAGTATACTCAAAGCCTGAATTAATCGCGTTTGAAGTGAATGGTAATGGGTTCAAGTCCCAGAGTGAACATCATATCTGAGATGCAGGTACAACCAGCTGATAAGTCCCAATTAGGACGAAACGTGAGACAAACTGGATTCCATTACTAGTCACTATCCATCTTTGCTTAAAAAGCTTGTAACCTAAGGCTATATCGAGGCATCCGTACAGGATGCACATATGCCAACATGAGACCGAGCAATTGCAATCCTAAATAACAATTGGAAGATACAAGTAAAACAACACCAAGTGAATTTCTCTGTAATTATCGTAATTATCCTCCCTCTCAGGTTTTACTCTGTATTGACTACTATATTTTAGATATATACAAGTCTTGGTTTAAATTCTTTGTTTAAAATGCCACTTTTCTTCAAGTGTCCTTGTGACCTTAACTGACCTCTTGATCCTTATTTTTCATACACTATTGACAAAACATGCACATAAAGAGAATATAATTTCAGAAGCATAAACTAATTTTCTATGAATATGTGAATAGGAATGACTAATAGCTATAACATAGATCAGTTGACCCCTATAGATGATCAATCATAGGAAAAAACAAGTTTCTTTGATAAACTATTATGATGGATTGCATGATTATTATTATTATTATTATTATTATTATTATTATTATTATTATTAGTAGTAGTAGTAGTAGTAGTAGTAGTAGTAGTAGTAGTATGATTGTTAGCCATGTAATTGATAAACAAAATATCTCAGTGAACCTATGATAGCTTAGACACAAACTCACATAATTCGGAAACCATTGACAACCAACAACCAGACAATATATTTTTAGTATCAGAAGTGATCTTTTTGTGGATATTATAGTAATTTTAATAGTTGAGATTATGAGTTAAGTGAAGCTAGACCACCATGGAAAACTTGGAAGCACTTGACGACCGTTTCGTCCTATTATGGGACTCCTCAGAAATGCGCATCGACGATCCTGCCTCACGAGATTCGAACTCAGGACCTACCAGTTTCTCACGTGAGCGTTTAACCATTAGACCACTGAGATACTAGCTGACGGATGACAATAGTGAATGTGTCGCTCGATTTTGTGGATTAGTTGAAGTTAGACATTAACAGCATTGGACGGCAGCTCAATGGTCTATAGGTTAAACGTTCGCGCGCGAGACCGACAGGTTATGGATTCAAATCCTGCGAGGCGGAGTCGTGGATGCGCACTGCTGAGGAGTCCCACAATAGGACGAAACGGTCGTCAAGTGCTTCCAAGTTTTCCATAGTGGTGTACCTTCAATTCACTCATAATCTCAACCATTAAAATTACAATACATTTTTCATTTTGGTTTCTAATAATATTTATGCAAAGTCGTTTGAAGGTGGATCCAGCAAATTCAAAGGATAGATGAGTGAGACACGATAGACTCAATGAAATCGGTCGCGTATCGATTGCAAACTTATTAACATGAGCTTTAAGATTTACGTAACTGAAGAAGATCACTCGATGAATCCAAAAGTATTTCTGAGGTGGATGACATATCAAATGACCTGAATGTGAGGCAATCGAAAAATCTAGTAATTTATAACAGTAATATATTAATGAATGTTTCATCTTGAGTATAATTAGTGTAGTTGTTTCGACAAAGTTTGATGTGATTGAATCCATTTCTTTATTAGTTAATTCAAACGACTTAAAACGTGGAGAAAATGATCTCTATTATTAATTAGATGTCAAGCCATTACATTATTGATCACTGGCGAATTTGAAATTAAAGTTTTCTAGAATACTTCAAGCCTTCTCTCTGATGTTGGATAAGGAATATTTAGTAGCGTGATTCAAGTCAGCCAGTTCTAAAATGTAATTGGTTGCGCGTAATCTTTCATTGAACATATGTCAACGTTTCAATCATGTGGTCAAATTTATACTTCCGACGTTTTTCCCTCGACCTCATATTGCGTTTCGACTATGATTTTCTCGTTCTTCATTAAAATTGCTAAAGTTTTCAGTAGTATTTCAATCACCTATTTTGAAGTAATTTATAATTTAATGGACTGGCTCCAAAACCAAAAAAATTTGGTATTTATTTTATCCTACACCATGCCACATACTTTGGCATTATTGTAGGAATAAAATATCGTGGTCAGCCTATCAAGCTTCGTTGGCTGGAGCATTCAGTCTTTTAGAACTTACAATGCCAGTCAAGTTGTTTGGACAGCAAAAACGAACTAACCTCAAGGCCCGAAGGGAAATCGTGTTCCTGATTGAATTGAGGTGTCATGATAGTAAGGTGTTTCTCCGAAACAACTAGCAATGAGGCCTTCTTGCAATGGAGGGGGTCGGGAAGGGTCAACCCTATGAATAGCACACCTCACCATACCCTGTAGATTTACATCCCTGTCCGTAAGGCCTACTACTCCTACTACTACTTTTAGTAGTGAGCTAATGTACTAGCAATTACAAAAACTCAGTGTATGAACAGCCTCAAGCAGTTGTCCGTCGGGAACTATGGTCTGGCTCTCAGATCGTCTATAACGAGCCTAATAGGGTTTCTTTCTCATATACTTCAGGAGGTATCCTTTCATAGTTCAAGCACACAGAAAGCAGCAATCACTCTCATACCTCCGACAGCATTCAAAACTGTTCTATTTTAAGACTAGGAAACAATGTGCACACACAACTTTGCTTGAAATCGAGCCTAGGACCTGAAGGTCACATGCTGAGCATCATACTACTGAGTCATTACTAAGTTCAAGTTCAATGATTTACATTCCTAAATTTAGTCAATTCTCAATATTGTGCTACCTCCATTCAATGTCATCAGGGATTATCTCTCTCACTTTAGTAAAAATTGCCAAACTTTGCCAATCAAGCAACTAGTTATTAAAAGAACAGAAAAATATAGGACGTAATTTGGCAAATTTTTAGAATAACGAGTTATACATTAAATATTTTTTGTAAGATAGTAGTAGATAATTAATTAATATCAGTTTGTAGAAGTTAAACATCCGATGATAGGAATTCCACTTGTGTATTACCGTAGTACTGACATTGACTATTATTATCATCATTATTATTATTATTACGTTGCTGATAATTTTCCACAACGTAATTGGTGCATTCCATCTGCTGATATCCCGAAGTTTCGGAAGACGAATCCCAATCAGTTAGACTGTTTGAAACTGAATTTCTCGGTATAGACATCTGAAAAATAAAGCAAAAACAAATGGACTTCTTGTGTGTGATTGTCATTTAATAGTATCACAATTGTCCATCAACGTGTAACAAAATCTTTCTATAGATCCAGTATTTACACGCACACAGACACATGCATACACAGTAATCGATTAGTCGTAATCAGGTGTCATGTTGTCTAGTATACAGTGCTCCTGATCGAATTCTATTTAGTTATAATATGGCAGCCGGTATGTAATCGACTTTAAATGACGGTGTTTTGTTTTGAAATTTAGGTAGGTGGAGATATTGTTAAGATGACAATTTGACAGATTCTGTGATGACTTCTATTCATCATCAAAGAATATTTGCAATCTTAGGAAAATTCATTTCCTGTAGCATCAGTCAGTCAGTTATAAGCAATACATAACTGTGGTGTTTGTAGAAACTAACGATTCCTTTGTACTTGTTGAATGCTTGATGTCGAATTCCAAATGCAGTAAATTCGTTCGTGATTATCTTGTACTTCTTGATCCAATTGCGTTATTTCTGAGATTCTGAGTCCATACTATAATTCAAATACTCCTAATTATCAAAATAACCTAAGATATATGTGGATCGTTTATCATATCAAATCAACATACCCAGATGAAATTACCAAGACGATAAATCAGATAAGTAGAAGTAGTGACAAGACCAATATGGTTCGAGAAGAAATAGTGAATTAAAATTTCTTTGTCTAAGGGGAGATAATAAATGAATGTATGTGGGCCACTGAGACCAATTCAGAGATATGACACTCAATGTCTCTAAGCATTGGTTACAAGAACAGTGAGTTCCAACTTGGGCCTACTTGCAAAGCTAAGCCCAGTAGTCAATGATTTTATAGACTGATGTTATGTTTTGTTTTCTCGGTCTCCTTGCGATGTCGAACACATGTCGTCAGAGACTTGACAGTTTATAAAAAGAGCCGAGAAAAGGAAAATGTAAACTTTGCGAAGTTGTTTTTGCGTGAACCAGTTTGTATATTTTATATAAATATTTATTAAACCATTAGTTTATGTTATTTTCATATAGTTTCAATTGTTAGTTAGTTGTTGATTGTTTGTCCAGTGTTATGTTAAACCACACGTTTTAAAACTATTCAACTATATTGAAATCGATAAGTCTATATCCAAGCCAGTTCAGGTGGATGCTAATTGCGACCATGAATACAGTAGTCGAGTAAGTAATGGAATAATTGTTATTATTGCAAGTAGAAAATCTAGTAATTATCACCAAGCTGTTCAAGATAGTCGCAATAGTTTCTTTTTCATGAACATTTATAATTAACAATGAAGAGGGATTTATGATAAAGTATCTGACATACTTAGAATAAGGTCCAACCTATTCTGAAAGATTCTTGATAAGAGTTCACAAGTAAAACCCTGAGATTATTCATGTATTATTGATTGTGGATTTCTGAATCACTGACCATTTTAAATTATTCAGTTGAACTATTTGACATAACCTCAGTTTAGCTAAGCAACAAATTCATATTAGGAAGGAAGAACTAAAGTTAAACTGAAACAAGAGTCACAGTCAAATTCGAAACGACGATCACACGGAAGAGCACAAAATTATTGTAAACCTTTAAAAAAGTCAAATTTTAAAGGAAACATGCCTTTTTTTAAAAAAAACGCTACTTCATCACTAACTAGTGTCAACTCTGAAAAAACAAGGTTGAGTACTGCATAGTTAGCTCACCATCGAATCAAAACCCGACAGCATACACAATTCGAAATCATTTTAACTGAGCAAGAACAAAGATTCTAGCAGAATAGCATGAATCTTTGTTCTTGCTCTTTTCAAAATGATAAAGGGAACTATGTGTATGAAATCATTTTAGCTAATATGATTTTATCAGAAGAGGTTTTATGTGGATATTGTAGTAATTTTAATAGTTAAAATCATGAGTCAATTGAAGCTAGACCATCATGGAAAGCATGGAAGCACTAGACGGCTGTTTCGTCCTAGTATGGAACTCCTCAACAGTGCGTATCCACGACCCCGCCCGGCAGGATTTGAACCTCGAACCTATCAGTCTCGTGTGCGAGCGCTTAACCACTGGACCAGTGAGCTGGCCGGTATCCAATGGTGTCAAGGTCTAACTTCAACTAATCCACGAAATTGAGTGGCACAACCACCATTTTCTTCATTGAGTTACTATCTCACAACAGACCCAGTTGAACTCCGTAGATTCTGGGTTCAAATCTCATGAGTCAGGATCGTCGATGCACACTACTGAGGAGTCTTACAATAGGACGAATCTGCCGTCCAGTACTTCCACGTTTTCCATGTTAGTCTCAACTATTAAAAAAATTAATACGACTTGATAAAAAATTCTCATTTTACATATCTAGTTGTTATACACATAAAATATATTCATATTGTAATATGTAATAAAAATAGAAACTAAGCCTTTGATCATAGCAACAAATAATAGAAGAATAACAAAAAATCAATAAAGAAAGTGTATAGACTAGACTAGTTTGAAAATTATTCATACTTACATATATACATACACACATACACACATACATAGATACATACATATCGATAAATAGATTAGATAAATACATCTATAAATAGTTAACAACATACATTTATAATAATAAATCAATAACAATGTTAATCAATAAAATCTTTACAAAATTCATGTTCATTATGCAAACTATCCTAGACTAACATATATATATATCTGTTAATGTACTAAATATTAATATTGAATATAAACATACATACAAATATATAAATAAAAATTGATTGACTAATTATGGAAATCGTTAAAATCACATATTGATAAATTTGATCCATACTGATAATTATCAATATCACTGATTGAAATCATGAGTTAATTGAAGCTAGATCACCATGGAAAACCTGGAAGCACTAGACGACCGTTTCTTCCTAGTATGAGACTCCTCAGCAGTGCACATCCTAAATCCGGCATTCCGCGACATTCGAACCCAGGACTTATCAGTCTGGCGCCAGGCGCTTAACCAACTAGATCACTGAGCCGGTCAGCATTTAACGGTGTTAATGTCTAACTTCAATCAATCCACAAAATTGCGCCATCGTACATCATTGTCTTCAATGAGTTGATATCTCACAACAGACTTGATTGAACTCCACTGGTAACGGCTTCTCACTAGAACTCCACGAAATGCCTCTTAAAGTCAATCACTAGTGAACAGTTGATTATTATCAGAATGGGTTTTGTGGAGAATGTAGAAATTTCAGTAGTTGAGATCATAAGTTGACTGAGTTCAACCAGGTCTGTTGTGAATACGATAGTGTACGGTGGCGTGATTTCGTAGATTGGTTGAAGTTAGACATTAACACCGTTGGATTCCGGCTCAGTGGGTTCGAATCTCGCAGAGGGCGGGATCGTGGATGTGCACTGATGAGGAGTCCCATAATAGGACGGAACGGTCGTCCAACGATTCCAGGTTTTCCATGGTGGTCTAGCTTCAATTAACTCATGATTTCAATCTGTGAACGTTCTAAAATCTCCACAAAATCCCATCTGATAATTATCAATATGTTCAGTAAGTTATGCGATTAGTTTCATGAGAAAACTTTCAGATTTCTAATGAAAAACGATGATTGATAGTGTTCAATTATGTCAGATATGAAGAAGGTAGAAGATGGAAGATATTTACGTAATAGTGTAGATTGATTACAGTTAAACTTTTGCACTATTGAATGGTAGCTCAATAGGTTAGAGTTCATGAATTCGCACATGAGATTGAAATTCTTGAATTCAGTTCCTAATGATGTAGTGGATAGGCATTAATGAAGAGTCCAACACCAGGGTGAAACAGATGCCTAGTGTTTCCAGAATTTCAATCGTTGTCTAATTTAGATTGGTTGGTGATCTTACTAAAATCCAATAAGTTACGAATGCATTTTGTTTAATTATTTTATTATTTATTCAGTGAACAATAGAGACATTAAATTAAACCTTCCGGAGGATTAAACACAATAGCTTTATAGACTACATTCAAACGATCCTGAAATCACTTAGAATGGACTATATGAATTATATATCATTCAACTACTGCCCTGATTACGATTCTAGATTCAATACTGTATTGAAATGACTTTTCAAACTGTCAAAATTCCCAAATACGATCGAGCCAGTTGCCCATCGATTTTATGTTTATAATGGTTCTCTTACCGATGTCACTTACTGGGATCTGTGCTAGGAAATTAAACACTAACATATTCACAGTGTAATCCGAAGGTCCCTCCTTAAGTTTGATAATGAACGTTATTTAAAAACAACAGAATAAGAGATTGAACGCATATTTATTCATTTTAAAGTTTGATTGACTGATATCTCAAAGCATAAATGATGCTCGAATTATCATTATCAATAGTAGTAGTTATAACAATGACTGCTAACCTTGACAGACTCCGAATCAGCATTATGTGTGAAAATAAAGCCGTCATCAATCAATGATTTTTCTGCTTTATGACACTTGACCTCTTGATGTTCCGAAGCTCTTTGTTTGCGTCTATGATCAGTGTTTCTGGAGTAATAACGCGATGTCAGATTGTCATTTAAATGGTCTTCGTAACTATTGTATTTGTTGAGAGTATAGTTTTTGGATTTCAAATTTACTGGAGAATCCTACGTCAGAAATGAAAAATAAAATAAAAGAACGAAGGGATTAAAAAGGACCAAAGTTTTTTACGTATTTGAGGAAAATAAGAAAGGTTTATAATGAAGGTTCGGTATGTCGATGGGAAAGTAAAACAAAAGTGTGAGGACAGTACACGGGTGAAGAAGAATATTCCAGAATCCCTACATGTAGCTTCTTTATTGGACAAATGCCAATAACACCCAGTATGCGGATCGGAGGACTATAATGATGATTTCGTTCTTACTAAAAACTATAAATACCTGGCAGTTTTGTACCATAATCGACACTGTTTGGAATAGCATTCCTTTCACTTGCCTTATGTTTTCTCATTTGCGACGTGGGAGTGTTCTAGAGTTCGAGTGCTCAAGTTATACACGGTATATTAAGAATCTAAACTCTAGATATAACAACTGGCGACGAGGTTAACGTATTAAGATGTCATTTACCTTTGACCAATTTGAAGCCTTGTGTCAAGAAAAACGTCACGATTCATATCACAGAGGCTGAGATTGGTGTTCTTGACTTAACAGATAGGGCTAGGCAGGAAGAAGGATCGGTAAGGACTCTAGACTGCTCGCACGGGTTTTATCCGTCATTGGACCAGTCGATAAATTACTGTTCTCTAATTGGCGGTGTCATTACATTATACATTGATAGGTGCACAAACCCACAAGTTATAACAAAAAGGTAAATACTTGAGGACTGTTTTTTTTACAGATAGATCTCAGCTTTAGAACCATTGAAAGCTAGGAAATACCATAGATGTTTCCTTTTAAGTTGAATATCTCCAATAATGCACTTACAATAACGTAAATGCGATTCAACTTAAGTTGCTGATATCTCGAGACAAATTTTCTACCTTTAAACGATTGGTTCGAAATTTAACTGTCCATAGTTGCCGTATAAACTTAAAACAACCATTTAGATATAAAACAATGAAGAATGTTTCAATAAAGAGATCTCTTTTATAGTGAATTCATTATCTAAATCAAACTATTGTAAATATATACCTTTCTTTCACAATTATAATAACATTAATTTATTAAAGATTATAATAGAGAAGCAAAATATACAAAAGCGTGAAAAACTACTATTCTTTTCAAAAACTATAAATATTGAATGTCTGTCAAGAACGTCACAGGATTTCGACATACGAAAAATTGTGAACATGATTTGTGTTACACAAGAAAATAAAATATTGAAATTCAATTAAGTCGGTTAGGGCTGAAAACGTTTTTGAATAAATTAGAAGAGTGTTATAATCAAAGATGGTGGTCAGCAGGTACGTCAAGTTGACGAGTCCCAAATAGGACGAAACGCGCATCTTGGATTCTACTGTTACCCACAATCCATCTTTGCTTATAATGCTTGTGAATTAAGTCAATGTCAAGGCAATCCGCACAGTATGCACATATGTCAATAAGAGACTGATCAAATGCAGTCCTAAACATTAATGGGAAGATTCAAACAAACAATACAAAATGAATTTAGAAAAGTGTTCGTTTTTAAGAATTAGGGGTTAAACCCATGTCAAATATGAAGAGATTGAATAAGTCTTTTTCGTATACATAGTCCTAGTTTTTCTAAATTTACAGAGAAAGCTTCAGCAATGTAAAAGAGTTAGAAGCCCAAATATTCAACGAAAAGAAGTCAATTATTCCACATAATAGGACGTTTCTATCCGATGCCTTACATTCAACATGATGAGTAATCTAATTAAAAAAGATAATTTTATATCTAGTGTTATATACTGCGTCAGTCTCTAGTTGTTCTGGGAAAGTTACATAACATGAAAGTCAATAACAATCAAGAGGATAAGTAAGTTTGTTATGGAGGGGTAAATATGTAATTCAGTAATTTAATTACATTTTCTAAATTAATCAGTTTAGTTTGTTAATATTGTATATACACTAAATAGAATTATTATTATTATTATTATTATTATTATTATTATTATTATTATTATTATTATTATTATTATTATTATTATTATTATTATTATTATGTAGATTATAGTACGAGTTTTTGATGAGTAGCAACTTTATGAGATTCATTTTTTCGAGATGTATCTACGGGTAAATTTATACATATATACCCTAAATATCACCGTTTACTACAATGATTTGAATGTGTTCATACAAAAATCGTTCAGTAATATTCAATCATATTAAGATGTAAAACGCGATCAAATGAAAATCAATAATATCGATCAAACAGTTTGTTTTTAATAACACATATATATGAAATTGATGAATGGATTAGGATTAAGGATAGATTTTGAGTAAATTTCACCCAGCATTATCAGACAAATGTGGGCTTTGATAACGGTAACTCGAAAACATTCACGTAGTGAATGATGTGACTTTATGGTTTGACTGAGTTGAATGAATAGATTAAAATAAGACGTTTTAGGCTGTGAACTAGCACTCTGGTCATTCCTTCAAAAGTTAGCAATGGTAGTAGTTATATTAGTAAGTAGGTAGACATAGGCTGATTAGAATTTAATAGTCCGATATCTTCATTCTATGGTCACTGCTGTGATTAACCACTTTGAAATATTTGGTTTGAAATTATATACTACGTACAAATTATTTAAGTAGGAAGAATTTGTGCACCAGATGAAGTAAGATGACCTTCATTCACCCGACTAAAAAGCTTGATATCTCTCCATAATAGGTCGATCATACGGGAAGGTGGAAATTCGAAATAATGGTTTTTAATATACGATAACAGAGTGGGAAAAAGCTGAATTGGATAAACTATAATTATACCGGCAAATAGTTCGAATTATTTATTTTGGTTAGTTTTTTCAGAGAGTTGGTATTCTACGAGATAGGGTCGCTAAACCCAACCACAACCCTCCTCCTTTATCCGAGCTTGGGACCGGCAGCAGCCCCAAAGGGTCTGTCAACCAACACCAAGTCCAGAATTTTCAATACAAATGTCAAAACAGTTCTACTGTATGGGGCGAAAACCTGGAGAACTACGAAAGCCACCATTCGGAAGATACAAGTGTTTATTAACAATTGTCTACGCAAAATATTTCGGATCTGTTGGCCATACACTATCAACAACAACCTACTGTGGGAGAGAACGAACAATATTACAATGGAGGAAGAAATCAGGACGAAGAGCTGGAGGTTGACAGGACACATATTGAAGAAAGCACCCAACTGTATTAAAAAGCATGCCTTCACTTGGAATCCTCAAGACCATAGAACACGTTATGCCGAGAAATGGAGACAGATATGAGAATAATGAACAACAATTGGATAGAACCAGAAAGGAAGGTGAAGGAAAAAGCGGGTTGGAGAATGCTAGTCGGCGGCCTATGCTCCATCGGGGGTAACAGGCGTAAGTATACCGGTAAAACTTGGAAATATACTACATCAAGACTGATAATAACAATACATTTATGGAAACAACACGTTGTCTAAAATCGCCTTAGTCTTGAGTCATACCTATTTAAGTAACTAGTACTAGTAGTTTGAGACGCAATATGCTTATCACAATATTGTGAATGAAAAGAAAACTTAGTATTACTCAACCAACCACATAGAAGTGTCAGCAGATGATAGCTATAATGATATCAATAGCTCTTTTTATGAAAAATTAAGTGTAACACTAAAACTACAAGAACACAAGAAAAAGAGCTCTAAATATAAAGTTATCTAGTATGAATGAGAAGTAAAACTGCCATAAAAGGTGGGAAATAAGCCAAATACTAGGAATGACAGGTTACTCAGCAGGGATGGCAAATCGATTGATGAGGTAGTATGTATTAATTGAGGTGATTTGGACGTGTCACGTACGCCCGAAAGAAAACCAAGGAGACCAAACTAAAACATGCCATCAGTTTAGGAAGTCATTGGCAACTGGACAGAGCCATGTTAACAGGTGTTGATTACCTGTTCTTTGTAAACAACCGTTAAAGACTTTGAATATGTCTCGAAATCGTATGGTATAATACGGGTGCATCCACTTTTTGTCTAACATTAAATTCTAAGTGTCCGAATTCTTCATAATTTCCTTTATTTCACTAATTTATATGTTCTTGAATTGTATCTTCGACGACTAATCTTCCCCAATACCACTAATACTGTTACCACCTCAATTACTCTGAAATTTGGTCTGACTGTCATCTCTCTGTGCTAACAGGGAATGGCAACTTGGACCGATGCACATGCATACAAGGCTCTAGGTTGCGACTAACTGACTGAGGTCCTACTACGATAGGGAATTCGGTTAAAGTGGTAGTACTGAAAACAGATCATATTGATCACAACTGACCTGCGTTCTTATTCATTTATTTATTTTAACAAATAGATATTGGTACAAGGAGGCACCAAATACATATCCGCCACACAAATCTCATTCGATATGTGTGAGGGCTGTGATACTGCCCGGGTGCCCAAACCGAAGCAGGTAATTTTCCTAGGGGGGCCACTCCCCGAGCCTTCGACATGAAGGTCTGATCCACAAGGCAGTGGGGCATCGTAAGGAGATGCAGTCCCCTGTAAGCCGGTGACCCCCAAGCTGCCAACTTTGGGGAAAATTTGATCCATTTTGGGGAAGCCGCTATAGTAAATTTTGCGGAAATGAGACGCAAACCCCAAAATTTCCCCAGACCTGGGAAATCCCCAAACATTGGGGAAGCTTCCCCAAAATTTCCCCAAAGCTGGCGGCTTGGGCCAACAATTGGTCCATACGCCATTTGTTCCCGCAGGATACTGGAGCCCATGTGCACCATTGATTTGGAATCCAGTTAAAGCGCTGGACATTCGCTTTTCGTCCTCTCATTTTCGTAAACAACACCCCCTTGACGAGAAGGCAGTGAGTAGGACTTCCCTGGCAGAGGCTATATACGCGTGTCCATGTGAGAGCATTTGGAGAGGTAAAGCGGACTCTCCCCACTCTCGACCGTACCCGGGCATTTTTCCAATAATCATTATTACTACCACTAACGATTAATATCTAGCTTCATCTTCTTTCACAAAGCACGTAACGAACTGACTTGATGAAATGTTTCTCATTATTGCCTGAAAGCTTGTTGTAGGCTAGATTTTCGACCACGTAATGTTTGTACCTTGTGTCAGGTCAAATAACAGGTTTCACTAACTAAGACTATGAGATAATGTCATCGAAATTTTAACACAGAGCCCAACCGAAGCATCCGACATTCCCGAGTAGCAAATAGACAGTGATAAGCATTAGATGCTATTGTCTTCAAAGAACTGCTTGATTCGAACAAACATAAGCTTAGAACATAAAGAGAGGTTTAACCTGACGACTGTGAAGACAGACACAACGACGAACAAAAATGAGTATCAGTAGAGACAGAAAAATAACAAAAGATAAACCTCTCCGATGTCATCCATAGGGTAGGAGTGACAAGAACATAGCCAAGCACTGGGTCAACAATGTAGAGGATCTCCCAAAAAGCTTGGAACAATACTTCAACAGCTGTTAACACAACAGCGATATCCATCAGTAACTAAAAGGTTAGGCAAAACCAATGGATCTCTGTAAACACTACCAAATTTATAGCCGTCTGAAAATTACTCAAGCAATCACGAAGAATGGAGTTGACTCATATGCGAACTGGTAACAGGTCAAGATGATGAGTAGCGTTGAAAGAGCAACAGGGTCATAACCTACCTATAGGTAGCACCAGATTGCTGTTGTGGTCAATAAGACAGGTACTGATAGGCTATCTGACAATTAAAATACTTAGTTATAACTCATTCGTAGACCAGGTAAATGTTGAGGAACAGTTCAGATAGCTTTAAGCTACCGCCTAATGCACGTGACACTTTTCAACCCGATATATATATGGGCGAAATCCAAAGTAGGCTATATGATGGTTTCTATAGCAGTAAACGGTAAATGTAGCTACATGATTGGTTGCTGTCCAAGTCTTGGCTGGCTGTGCAGTTATATGGTTGATGGGTCGTTAACTTAAACTACCTTCGAAGTCTTAGCACCGCTTCGATAATATCGTATAGAGTTGTCTATCGAGATATATACACACATCTTGGCGACTAATTTTACAGCAACGAAGCTAGTTCTGAAAGGGGTCACTACTAGATTTCGCATGGATTATAGGATAAGAGATCGACCGATACGAATGAAGCAGGTTACGTATGTCCATGCACTCAAAGAGCAAAGTTACGAGGAACGACACGAAGACGATATGTCCGTAAGAGTATGGGAGCTCAAGCATTGAACACCCGGACACATTTTATGAGCAAGTAACCATTATTAGCGACCTTACAGAAATCATTAGCCAGGTTTGATTGAGAAATATAGAGCTGAACCTAGAACAAGATAACTGTGCCAGGGATATATTAAACACGATGTATCCAAAATCACTAAGGTTGCATTAACAAATGTTGAAAGTGCACTAAACAAAAGTCGTGATAGTTTAGTAAATCACATCGAAAACATACCTCTGACACTGCTGAATAATATTGTCTGTTGGGAGGAGCGTTAGCCGTATTGTTCACGTTTTGAATCTGAGAAGACCAATCATCATTTCCAATTCGTGAATAGCACTGTCGCAACCAAGAAGACCTGTTGTAAGCAGTCAGCAGCTTTTGCGAATGACGACGTCTTGACTTCACAAACCAACCGACCAGCAACAACGCAAGCGATAGCGCCAATAGAGAGCCCATCAAACCTAACAATGCGACGACGACAGGGTGTGCACCCGAGTACGATACGTACGGAGCTAAAGGAAACCAGACACCAGCTGTGAAAGCACACATAACAAACATCGCTATGGAAGTGAACAATATTACCACAATAACCATTAGAAGATCTCCCTACCAAACCCATCCAAAGCCAAATAAAAAAAAACCATAATAAACGGATGGCGATACACGTTTATTAATGAAGATAATGAAGAATAAATAAAATACAATCTGAACAATCAGAAGTGGCATATAGTAGTAGTTAAGGAAATACAAGATGTGAAACAAGTATGGAACATATGTACAAGCTAATGCGTAACAATGATAAGAATCAACTATAAAAATAATTCACATTCATTTCTTTGCAACTTTTTTCGGGGTCTTCTTTGCCACTGGTTTCTTGGGCTTCACAGTCTATAAGAAAGAAAAGGATATTTCTATGAAATCATATCCATTCGATGTGCTTAAGGTTATAAGTCACACATGTATAATTTTAAGATCATAAGGAGTCAAGAAATCATTTGACTTACTTTTGGTTTATGTGGCGATTTTGCTTTCTTTGGCTTGGCGGCGGATTTGGGTTTGGTGGCTTTCGGTTTAGAAGCAGCTGGTTTACTTGCTGGACTGGTAGTTGATTTGGGTTTGACAACTTTTGGCTTCTTGGTAGATGCTTTCTTTGGAGTAGTTTTCGGTTTTGAAGTTTTAGGACGTGCAACTTTTTTCGGTGTCACAGTTTTATCTGCAAGTTTAAATGATCCAGATGCACCAATTCCTTTAGTGTGAACAAGTTTGCCCGATTTAACACCAGTAACTAAAGCACGACGTAGATGACTTTCTGCACGATCATCGACTTTGTAATTAGTTTTGATATATTTAGCAATAGCTTGACGACTTGATCCACCACGTTCTTTCAGCTCTTTAAGGGCTTTCTTTATCATATCTCCATAAGGAGGGTGGACTGATGGTGCTTTTTTTGATTTTGCAGATTTTCTTACCCCAGTAGTCGAAGGGGCAGCAGCTAATGAACTTCCACTAACACCAGAAACAGTCATTTCAAATTAACTGGTTAGACAGACAGGTCAGAAAATTTCGCTAACTCTTGTTTAACGCTTATTTATATAGTTTATTTTCCTGACCACAACGTAGCATAGTTCAATCGGAGTGCGTATGTCACTTCTATTACACAGCATAAGCGATTAATACCTCGGTAGGGTGAATAAAAAAGCTTATAACTTCTAAACAAAAAATCATAAAAATATAATTAATACATCGTTATAGAGCTAACATTCTGCGCTTTCAGGCAATGTTAAAATCATTGAAATTAATTTATAAATCTAAGAGAAAATTAGTGAAGAATCTGATTTTTTTATAGTATTCCTTCGTCTACATCACTTTGATCATTAATAAATTCCCCCAAAAATAAAAAAATTGGAACTAAATTTTGTATTCTTATAGAGGCCTTCCTTGACATTACCAAAATAGTAAAAATTGTACGATAAACTTATAAAATGATAGAAAATTCTTACGAAAACGTAACATATGCTTACAAAAAATTTACCATGGAGACTTTCAATCCTCAAAAGAAATCATGAATATTTGACGGAACCTTTTGAAGAAAAACGTTCAAAAACCAGAATATAATAGTTAACTGTCATAGTAATCTGTGTATATAGTCACAAGCTGGAATTCATCCAGGAACCTTGAATTTTCAAGACTGGAATTCAACCTTTGCTATTATAAGCATATCTTTAAATGTCGATAGTAAATTCATAGGAAATAGACTTTAGCTTTAGTAATCTTTTTACTTTTTCTTATTCATAACATGATAAAGAAGGTATGTCTTAGATAAGAAAGTGTAAAGAACTATTATTTACCAAAGGATCCTTATAGGGAATCCCAATAATTTGAAATTTCTCTATTTTATGATAAAGGCATATCATTTTACTAGAATTTCATGAAGTGAATGAACAATTTACTCTATTTTGATTCAAAATAAGATTTTGAATAAATTCTTTGAAGTATTTATGAAGAAATTTCACAGATTTCTAAGCATCATAAGCAAATAATGTAGGAAGTGAAGAGATTTAAATTCAATATCAACTCATAATGCCTGTATCGTAGCAGGCGAGTAGAAAAACCAAGAACGAACAAAATACTCACGACATACAGGTTTTCACACCGAGTCATCAGTACTTGGAACCTGCTGCCCAAAGTAGTGGTGTCCGCACCTTCAATTGACTCTTTCAAGAGAAGACTGGACACTCACAGAAGCATACTAGAAAAGGAACTATATAATAATATAATGCAAATATCCTAGTGGTGTACATTTAGAGTTTTGACTGAGCATATGTGGTGTTTGTAATCGGTTGAACGTCTTCTTCTTAAGTTCATCCTGACTCTGTCCGACATTGTAATGGATAAAAACTCGGTATTATCTAGAATACACTCATTAGTATAAGAATTAACAACTGAAATCGGAACAGACTCACCTGGAATTGTATGCAATCAGTATGTCGGTTTTGTACAGAAATCATTAATATCTAGAATTTGAACCATAGATTTTTCAACACTATCCAAGACGTACAACCGATTACAAACACCACAGTATATTAGAATGAGATGGGTGTTGGAGTAAATAAACTCTGAACAAGAACTGAGAGGCATAGAAATCAATTCACCGTTACTTCCTCACATTTTTTTTGACATATCTCAAGAATAAGTAGAATTGTCTGTTATTCATTTTATGAAACTATTCTCTTCAATGCATTCTAATAGATTTTTAACCGAGATCATATACAAGTATAGAAAATTGTAAATGGAAACAGTTGACGATTATACTTTCAAAAGTCAATTGTTAACTAAATAAGAACTTTCGTCTAAATTTGAACGAATAGTTTCACAATATTTGGGCGCCGAGTTAATGTGAGTCATTAAAGAGGAAGAATGTATTTGTAAAATCTCAGCGAAATAATTTGAAGTAAATCTAACGTTTCGCCTGGCAATCTAGTCCAAACTTTTTCAAGGAAAATATAATCAAACAACAAAATTTTGTTGTTGGACCAGATTACCAGGCGAAACATTGGATTTACTTCAAATTCTTTCACTGAGATTTTACAAATACATTTTTCCTCTTTAATGACTCAATTGTTAACAGTTTATAAGAAAATGAAAATAGATTACAGTTTTTTTCCCTAGAAAAATAAAACTGTTGATCTAGTTAGTTATCATGAAAAGTATATCGTTATCTTCTTTGAAATACTCGAAAATAATCGATGGATGAATCGCTTGATGAATATGATTTTTCAAGTCAGTATGAGGAATGTACAAATTAGTGAGCTTGAAAAAATTCTTATCATGTAATGATCATGTTTAACCGCCCCAATACATGAAATAAATTTGACTAATAGGAATTCATTACGTAATAAGATGTGTGTAAATAATTAGATAGTGAAGAATACGAAGAGGCGGAAAATTACAAACAAATACTAGATGTGAAAATAAGGTTAACGATAACACAAATAGAATAAAATAAATAATGATAATAATAAAATTTTAAAAAAATAAATAAATAATTGTTAGTTAAGTTATAACCGGCCGTGGAAGGGATAGGGGGGTCACGTATTTCTTCTGTACACATAAATTGGGGTTATATGTACGAATTCCAGTGGCTTCAGCTATATGTAGGAGACGGGAACGGACTCCGTCGGGAAAAGATGGAGGTATACGATAGATAACTCGAAATGATTTCGATTTATCTACAACATGACCGCTATCAATAAGATATGCAAATATAGCGGAGTCCGTTCCCATCTCCTACATATAGCTGAAGCCATTGGAATTCGTACATATAACCCCAATTTATGTGTACAGAAGAAATACGTGACCCCCCTATCCCTTCCATGGCCGGTTATAACTTAACTAACAATTATTTATTTATTTATTTTTTTTAATTTTATTATTATCATTATTTATTTTATTGTATTTGTGTTATCGTTAACCTTATTTTCACATCTAGTATTTGTTTGTAATTTTCTGCCTCTTCGTATTCTTCACTATCTAATTATTTACACACATCTAATAGGAATTCAACGATTTATCTAATAGGTACTGTGTCCAAAACACTAAGTAGTTACTTGGATTCTGTTTCGACAAAAAAGTAACAAGTTCACTATTACGTTATATACTTATTGTTCTGAAACCATGAAAGAAATATATAGTTTGATTTGGATACTTTTATTTGTGTTGTCTGTTCTGATCTTGATGATCTAATTGTTAAGCTTTCATTACCATTCTGGACAATATAGTCATTGCTTACTTCAGACTTACTTCTATATAAAACAAAGGAGTAAACAATGACTAATTTAAGGTCAATAAGAACCAATCAACGTCGAAGTGTACAGAACAAGCTGTGAAACGCATATGGAGAAATTCAAACACTTCACTCCTATCTGAAGTTTGTGCTGATGATGTCGTTCAGAAGAAAGATAAAAGCTCCACGACCAAACCATCCAGCTCAGAGAACAAAACTCCATCAAAATAAAATAAGCTTTAACAATATTACTCTGAATATACTTAATTTCGAGGTGGTAGTGATTATTTATATCTTGGGTGAATGATTTTGGTAAAGTTGTGTTCTCTGACTTAGGTAGTTTAATGGTGAAGAATTCATTGTCGTCCTTCTAGACAACATCTTCAGTTCTACTGTTTAAAGTTTCTATGGATGACGTTATCTAGAAAGAGAATGCATGGTTTATTATTGAACCACTCAGCTTAGAGAAGTCAATTTCACTAAAAAAACATGAACACATTAGTTCAGATTAATGGTAGAGATGAGATCTGAACTTTGCAAAGATCAAAATATGAACCCAACAAAACTGTTGATATCTTTACGCTGAATAAACTTTGAATATCTATGACTATTGGTATTTTATTGATGTATTTATTTACCTAGAAGCCTATTTGCCATATGTCGGTATCTATCGGTATAGTACTGTCATGTTTATTAAAACGATTTACCAAAGAATTCAACTAAAAAGATTAAATCAAGATCAATCCTAAATATCAGTTTAACCCAAAATCTGGAAACATATGCTCTCAATGTATATTGAAATATTTATTTAGCTAAATGTCATTGATTCTATGTTACACATTCTCATGGAGTATACACATGTCCACATACGTTTTGTCCACCTGTGAAAAACGCTGAAAGTAAACAATTACAGTAACTAAGTTTCTGTGTTATATTAGAATGCACCATCCAAATAAAAATCATTTTTAAGAGACTAAATTATGTTAAATTTTCTTCCACAATCCTTTGGTCAGCCTTAAATGACAATCCAGTATAAGATGATATTATTCAAGATGAGTAAACTTAACTGTCCATCAAATAAATAAACAGATAACTAACAATTGGAATAAAAACAGACTGAGGTCGTGATTCATTTAACTTTTTAGTGTAAATAATTTAAAACTGATTAGGCTTGTTAGGAATATTAATTTAACACATGAATGTATCGAACGGATAACGTCGTTTGCAACGTTTTCAATGTCCAATAAGTACTTATCTTTCCATTTATTAAGTGAATGAGTGCTGTATATTAAAATGTAATCTTCATTAGATATTTCATTTCAATCTATAACTAACACAATATTTGTATTTTTCATCAGGGAAGTTGAACTACTCTACGATGATATGTTCATAGAAGACAACTGTAGACAACTCTTACCTGTTGAAATGAAATCGTTGATAAATATTCTACTCTAATCTACAAGACTCAATTACCAAATAAACGGAAAAATGGCCAAAAATGTTGAATAGAATGCAGTTATTGAATGTTGAACTTGTTGAAGATAACGGCAAACAAATAAAGTCACTTAAAATAAAATGAATTCATTGATGAGTTCAGAGACAATCAGGAACTCCAACCACTGTTTAAGATAATTGTGAAGACGTCAACCAGTGAATCTACACCTACTCACACAACTCATTCCAACAGTCAATGATTTTTTGACTGTGCTATGTCTTGGTTTGAATATCATTGTCTCTCATCCAACCTAACCCTTCATCATCAAACATTGGTCATTGATCTAG